CACTTTTGCGCCTTTTTTCACAGTTTGCTTGGGACTATGCTCAGATTTTGGTAAGGAGTTTGTTCAGACTTTCGCAGCTATGTTCAGGCTATATTCAGACTGTGCTTGGGAATATGTTCATATTTTGCTGGCATTTATGTTATGTTCACACTATTTGTGTTGGAGGGAGCCTGTCATAATCAGATTGTTACAAACGTTTTTTACTTGCTTACAAACGTCAAGATACAGGTCAACGTTTCCCGTGATCTTCACCAACAACTCAAGGAAACACTTCAGAATTATGAGCCAATTTATGGAGCATTCGTTTTCCTCCAACTCAGATCCCCGACTCTTGTTTTAATGTAATTCATGAGCACATTCACCCTATGGAATTCCCTCGTTAAAAAAATCGTGCGCTGCACTTAACAAACAAAGCCAACAGACAGAAGGAAAAAAGTCAATGGTTGCAGATAAACAAAAAAATAGTGAAAAAACTTTCGAATTTCCAAGAAACAACTAGACGGCTTGAAAACTCTTGATTTAGAACTTCAGCCAGTTTCTCCAGTAAACGCTGAGATTGAAACAAAAATTAGAATTGGTGCGCCAAGATTTTTTTTCGATAACAAGATAGTGAAAATTTGAGGTTGCACCCGTACCCAAGGGATTTTCTGTGCAAGATCTGAAATTCTTTATTTCTTACATAACTTGATTCTCAGATCTGAAATTCTATATTTCAGATCTTGATAAGAATTTACAATAATTAGATGAGAAATTTCGATCTGAAATGGAAAACTTTAGATCTCAAATAACCTTGAAAAACAAAATTTCAGATCTGAAATCAGATCTGAGAAATCTTTTGTTAAATTATAATTTATGCATTTCAAGCAAAACATGGATTTTTTATTTTTTGATGTTTCTGCACAACACAATTATGTTTAGGTTAACTAGCGAACAGAAAAACATCCGAATATTTTCACAAACCGTTTTTTTAACTAAATTTCCTTTTAAAATGTGTTAAAAAGTTTTCAAAAACTGTAAGAAGACTTGTAGCATTTATGATTGTCATGCGCCACTTATGCGTTTCCAATGTTTATCTCATGCTAGGGGAAACCTACTTCGGAGACTTTGCTGAGTACCTGCTAGTAGCTAGCAGAAGCTGGATAAAATCAAAAGTAGCAAAAATTGAGTCCGAATCATTGATTTTTCAGATCCGAATTAACCTTTAAAAACTAAATTTCATATCTGAATTTAGATCTGAAATAGATTTTTCAGATCTGAAATAACCAAGAAAAAGAAAATTTCAGACCTGAACTTAGATCTGAAATAACCAATCCTTAAAGTATTCAAGCGTTATTTAAACATTTCACAAATAATTTCAGATCTGAAATTTAGATCTAAAAAAGATTATTTCAGATCTAATTTAGAAAGTTTACTGGGTACGGGCAGTCTAGTTGCTTGACTAATTTTTGTGAAGCTGAAAAGTTATGAGGCTCATGAACGTTTTTACAGAGGGATAGTTTTGTTTTCACTTCTTGGGCTGAAATTTATTCATAAGTTTTCGTAATATCTACAATCTGTTTTAGACAAAAATAATTAATTAGGTTTAGTTGGAAAATTGCAGAAAAACGCCATCATCTCAGTCGCCACGTGATAATTTTACTTGGACACTGATCAGTCGTGATCAAAGTCGGCGGTCCTTTTCCGCTATCTTTCAAAACTCACTGAGCTTTAGAGAGTCAAATTAGAATCGTCTTCTACAGCTAAAAAATTCTTGGTATATAACATGGCATATATACTTGTTATAAACTAGAAGTCGATCACGTTTTTTGCGAGCATTACACTTTCACTGTTTGGGTGTGGAGTTTGCCTTTCTTGGCGCAAAGAAAATGAATTGAGCTTTAAAAAAATCAAAAGTCAAACCGAGAAAAAAATTGAGCCTGAAAAAATGTTAGGATTTTTCCTGAAAACAAAGCAAACAAAAATCATCGCGACCTATCAAAGAATCTGAACTACGTTTATCGATTTTTATTAACTTTATTTTTGAAAGGAACAAAATCGCAGCATTTGTCGTCAAAAACATAGCCAACAGATAGTTGGAAAGGAGCCAATGGACGCAGAAAACAGAAAAAGTACTGACTGGTTTTTTGAGAAAATCTCATTTTTCGAGTGACAAAGAAAAATTGGACGCCCTTGGATTTCTTTGAGTTTGCTGAACAATTTATAATAGGCACTTTTTTGATAGACTTAACCCAAACTGAGAAAATTAAATCAATCTTAGATTTTTTTTGCTGAGAAATCTGAAATTTCAATTCCACTTTTAAAAAAAGAAGGGCTCTTTTTCCTTCCCCCACCTGCAAATTTTTACATGGAAATTTGTTGACCACATTGTCCGGTTGTTATGAAAATTTACATACAGACGAGTAAAGCCACGACAAACATATTTGGTCTTCATACTCAACCTCGTAAAACCACTCGTTACACTAATAAGTAGAAACTGGCGTGAGGTGGGGGGAAAAGGAAAAAGAGACAAAAGAAGATTTTGTTTTTCGTGGTTTTTCACACTTTTGCTGTTCAATATTGGAGTTTGCTTTTGTTTTAATAATGACAAGAAATCAAAAATCTAGCCGCGAAAATCAAAGTTGATTGTGAACAAGTCTTAAAGCTTTTCTCTGAGAAAAAAATAGTTAAACCTAAATTTCAAATCAGTTCTTCGATGCTCCCAATGCTTGCAAAGCTAAGATAACCGTGATAACCTTAAATTCAACTTTAATCTAGATTGTAAACATCTCTTCGCCAGAACCGAACCAAACGAAAAATGTGAAAACCAACTGTACTACACACAGACTCGAAGTTATCTTTCGCAGCCACTTCACAAACTTAGAAATGCGCAATGGATGGAATGTTGCAAGAACATTGTTTTTGATGAAAGATAGCATAAGCAGGGGCGGATCTAGGATTTTCTCGAGGGGGGCGGATTTTCAAAAAATTTTCGAAAATTTTGACGACCTTTTTTTTTTTTTTAGGTCGATCAGATTGATTTTCCGAGCTCTCCCAAAGCAATAAAAAGACCCTGTTTTGGCAAAATTTTCTGCGCCGCAGGCAATTTTTTGAAAAACCAGGTCAAAAAAGCGTTTTTTTTTGGCGCGCGCTCCCCCTCAAAATAAGTATATATTGGCGCCAGAGGCGCCTTTAGAAAAATTTTAGGGTCGGTCGGCCAAAAATGGATTTCTTAAAAAGTACCAAAGGGGGGACCCTTTGGGTTGGCAGGGGGTCGAATCCCTGAGGGGGGGGGGCGTCCGCCCCCCGCCCCCTTCCCCTAAATCCGCCCCTGAGCATGAGATTTCTGAGACACCGGTGTGTTTTCCGATAATTTACGTAACTACTTCATCCGAAAAAAATTAGGAGAGTAAAAATTTTACTACCCCTAATGCTGACTAACGAGTTTTCACAATTGCGTTCGAAAGTTCAGATTATCTTGAATCTTAAGAACGGTCCAAAATGATTACAACTTCAATCAATTCTTCCCTTATGTCAGACGAACCAGCAATATCTCACACTTGAAAAATTTCAAAAAATATAAACCAAACAAGACTGCTTGTATTAGGGCGAAAAAATTCCGTCAAATGGCTAGTTGAAAAGTCGAAATTTGTCTGCAGAAAAAAAACCCACCCAAAGCACAAATATTCCGTTACTTTCGTATCGAAAGTCGGAACAAAGATCCCGAATGGATACAAGCGGATTGATATAAACCTTCAGTTGAATCTCCATTTTGCGTATTCTATTTGAAAGTGTAGTTTTTGACTGTAAACTAGTAAAATGTAGCCAACTGACAATTGAAAAACTGTAGTGAATGCAATGAAATAAAAAAAACTGACTTGTTTTTTGAAAACCTTCAGCTTTCCACCTTAAAAAAAATATATGCCTTCACGATTTCCTAAACTTCACGAAAAAAAATTTTATTAGGACTTTTTTAATTATTAGTGATAATATTAACCCATTTTGAGAAAACTGAGTTGATGAAAACATTTTGTTTTGCTGAAAAACCTGATAAATTGTTTCTATTTTTGATATCAATGCGATCTCATTTTTCGTGTATTTTACAATTATGCAGTCCAATAGCTGAGTTTGCCTTCCTTTCAACAAAAAAATATGCTGAACTTGAAAAGAAATCAAAAATCAAACCGCGAAAAATCAAGTTTGAGTGTGAAAAAATATAATGACTTTTGCCAGAAAAAAACCAAACAAGCAAAAATACTCACTCAAACATATATAAGAGTTATCACTACGTTCATAACTCTTGATCAAGTTGAATCAATTTAATAAAACTGGATCAAAAGAAAAAGTTTTAATTCCGCTGGGAAATCAGGAAATTATTATCCTCTCTCGAAATGAGAATTCGTTTTCATTTTTTGTGTTTTTGCACTTTTGCTGTTCGATAGTGGAGTTTGCCTTCTTTTTAACAAAAGAATTGAACTGAAATGCAAAAAAAATCAAACCGCGAAAAATCAAGTTTGAGCTTCAACAAATTTTAAGATTTTACGAAAAAGTTTAAGAAAAAAAAACAAAAAACACCGAGACCTATATAAGAGTACTCACTACGTTTATTGCTCCTAATATTATTCAATCGCAATTCATTTCTACAACTCTAAATTGATGCTGTACTCTGATCATGTTTTCGGATTTTCTTTGACGTTCTCTTAAGGTTTTTCGACAGACTGGAATCAGGTTGATCTCAACCTAAGCTCGACTTTACCAATGTTTCCTGAGATCTCTTGAGACTACGGAAGACAGAAGTAGGTCTAAGCTAAGTATTTGTCTAAGTAGTTCCACAAACCAATCCGTTCCCACATATATATCATAATAACTACTTTATGAGCATGACAGTAGGGTCAAATAACATAGAGTCATATTAGCCAATCAGATTTCAGAATCCATTTTGAGTTATAAAACTCAAGTTTTGGATTGTTTGGAAATGTTTTGTCAATCGGACTTTCTCCTATGACCTCCAATTGTTTTTTTACCTAGTTCCTGATGATGGTGGTTGATATGTTGGATCTGCTGGCTCCTCTGTGTTATTTTGCTGTGCCATGTTGTTATTACTCGGTCGCTCATCGATTTTCTGAGTGGAAGCAGCCTGGGTGTTTTTGCTTCTATCTGCAGAGACTGCGGGGCAAATGCACTCTTTGGAACCCTTTAAACCAGCAGGCACACGGGAAGGGTCGCCATGTCTGAAAAATGTTTAGTTTTTTGAGGAGCTTTTTTATAAACAAAAGTTTCGATCGAATTTTATTAAATAAAAACCAATAAGAAACCAAAAATCAGAGACATAAGAGTTCAAGAGAAAAAAATTACCAAGATACACTCAATACATTTGTACTTTAAAGTTTTCGCATTTATATTGTTTATTTATTCTTGCGAAAATCACGAGAAACTTCAAATAATTGCATCACCAATAAACAAGATAGCCGATTACTGTGCAAGTAGCACTGAATGTTCTAACAATAGAAACAAGACTGCTCGTATCAGGGCGAAGCCCTGAATGTTCCGACTGCCTTTTAAGTTTTATGGAGCAGCAGTCATAACATAAAAAAATTAAATGAAATAAAATAAAATGAAATTTTTTTTCTTCTAAAATTTGAAATTTTTAATGAAAATCATCCCCCACACGCCAAATAAAGTACAAAAAGATAGTTTTCGTTCCTTGTAACACATCAATTATGGCAAATAAGCTTCGTTCAACCAATTTGGAACGATTTATAAGACTGATTAAATCTCCGCTTACGCGTTAATAGCGCGAATTATATCGCGCGTTAATTTTTCGAAATTGGTCAAAATGGCAATCTTTAAACCCTCATAACTTTACGAAAAATGATCACAGGTGAAATATCTTTTCAAATTTAAGCTCAAGACAACAATAACTTTTGAATGATGGCTAGTTAAAAAGTCAAAAATGGCTAGTTAAAAAGTCGAAATTTGTCTGAAGAAAAAAAAACCCACCCGAGCACAAATATTCCGTTACTTTCGTATCGAAAGTCGGAACAAAAAAGTATTTCCAAATTATTGTGGTGCGATAAGTTACTTGAACGAAGAACTAGAACTTAGGCTTATTCCACAGTCATAGTAAACTAGGCCAATTGGAAAAGAGTTTTTGAAGAAAATTGAGTCAGTTGCAAACCCCAAAACCTGAAAAACCTCTATCACACAGTATTTTTCCTCTTCAATTTTATCTTGTAAAAAGTACACTTACACCGGACATTCAGGCGATATAAGATTACTATCTTTTGCATACATGCTCCTCAACACACTATCCATCATCCCCACTGATTTGCCCGTCTTTCCTGTGCCCCCACTTCCCTTTCCCTCTCCCTCTTTCTCCAGTCGCTGGAACACTTTCATGCTGGAGCCTCTCGTGTGGTCAGTCACGGCACTACTGTTTCGACCTTAAAGTAAACAAGACTGCTCGTACCAGGGCGAAGCCCTGAATGTTCCGACCGCCTCTTAATGTTTATGGAGCAGTAATAACATTTAAGAAATTAAATGAAAAAAAAATAATAAAATTTTTTTTTCTAAAATTTGAATTTTTTAAAAATAAAAATCATCATCATCCCCCCACACGCCATATTGAGCACAAAAGGATAGATTTCGCTCCTTGTAACAAATCAATTATGGCAAATAAGCTTCTTTCAACCAATTTGGAACGATTTCTAAGACGGATTAACTCTCCGCTTACGCGTGAATAGCGCGAAATATCTCGCGCGTTAATTGTCCCTAATTGGTCAAAATGGCGATCTTTAAACCCCCATAACTTTACGAAAAATGATCACAGGTGAAATATCTTTTCAAATTTAAGCTCAGGACAACAATACCTTTTGAATGATATGAAAAAATTCCGTCAAAAATGGCTAGTTAAAAAGTCGAAATTTGTCTGAAGAAAAAAAAACCCACCCCGAGCACAAATATTCCGTTACTTTCGTACCGAAAGTCGGAACAATTAGATTTCAATTTAAAAACTACTAACGTCATCAATTGTCTAACGATTTTCACTCTACGTTGGACTTCTTCACACGTTCTATTTCGCCACGGGAAAAAGGATATTAAGGGGTTATCTGGGTAGGTGGATGAATTTTCCTGTTTCCTGTATCATGAAGCTTCTGATAAAAATTTTCTCTTATTCTATTCAAAATAAAACAAATATTCTTACAGTTTGTTGGGCTACGTAAGGCGCTCTCTTTGATATAATTATGTCTGTGATCAACTGAGTATATTCGGCGTAAATTTTGATTAACTAAGAAAAACCAAAATGACCCATTTTTGGGGTAAAAGTTTTGGCCCGAATTTCGCGAAACAAATTGCACCATATTAATTCTGCTTTCACCTAAACTCATACCAATTTGAGAAAAACGCGTTTTAAATTTATGTTTAACGCGTTTTGTCCGGTTAATTTAAATCAGCACTATTTAATAAATCCCAATTATCACACATGAAGATTTGCAATCATTTTGAACTGAATTAAATAAAATTCGATGCCATTTTGATCCTTTTCCAACCAATTACAGAGCAGCATGTGTGAATTGCAATTATTCACACTCACATGACAACTTTGTTCTAGAATAATCTATATTCGAATGATTAAAGTAGCATTCGAATGTCAATCTCGCGAATGAACGTTCGAACGTTCGAACTATTGTTGCAGCACTAGGAGAAAACAACATCGTACAAAAACAGAATTCGTTCTTTTGATTTTATGACTCATAGTTTTTCTTCCATTTTTCATTTGTCAACCCACCCTCGTCGTCTCCGCCAGCCGACGTGTCAGATCCAGTCCTCTTCCTGTGATCTTCAGGAATATGAAGTCGAACTGACTTCTTCATCCTGGTGTCGCCTAGAAAGATACTCCATTAAAACCCTTTCTGAAAACTTTTCTTAAACAGGATTGGAAAGAAAGATATTTCAAATCGGCATCAACGGCGTGTCTAAAGTTTTCTCACGAGGAGAATATTTAGCCAAAAAACTTGAAAACTACAGGAAATTCAGACTTAGGTACATTTCCAAAACTTCAATTCAAAATTCATGTTGTATACTTTTTGTCGCGCATTTTTCTCTTAGATTTTTGTTATGCTGGTATTTTTTAGCCTTGATTAGGGATTAATCAAATAAAAACACATACTTACTTTTATCAGGATTGTCCGTGGGTTTTAGACTCTCCATTTTCTCAACAGGTGCATCTCCCCCGCCTTCTACTCTACTATGCAGCCTCTGGTCCATCTCAGTAGTCGACCTCCGTCTGGGTCTCCTGGCCATGTTCTTGAGGACATCGTTCTTCAAGTAACAGCCACGCGGCGTTGAAATTGTTGTCATGTTTTCAATCTGAACAACAAATTGTCGTTGGTGAACTTTTCTATTCATACCTGTTGAAACCATTCTTGATCTCGGACTAACGTTTCAGAACCAAATTTTATTTTCTACATTTTGATCAGAAAAGGTTTCCTATATCGATATCAAAAATTGCGAGTTGATAGCCAGTTGATTAGAAAACCTTGCTGCTAGAGATCCTCCTTAGCGTAAAGAAGTTAGTCTTGCTTTTTTGAGTGATTTAAGGACAGCTTTTCATTCAGAAAACATTTAAATTATTATCTTTTTCAAGTTAACATCACTGCTGGCAAAAGACTCTTTCATTTTTTTAAGAATAAGTTAAAAATGTTCTATTATAATTGATTAAAATTTTTTTTATTGTATCGAATTAACAATATAGTTCATTTCTAAACAATTACAATATAATTTTTATGAATTTGAGAAAGGCAGATTATAAAAATGCAATATAATCAAATAGTGTCCACAAAATAATTTCAGTGCGGGTTTGAATGCGACTTAGCAATAGTTTGATTCGACATCAAATTAGAAAAAAAAAACAAATTTTTTTTTCAAGTTTTCAAGCAATTACTAGAAAAACTCCTAGAAAACTATTATTAACTTAACAAAAAAATTATTTGAAAATCGTTCGGAACCCCCATATGAAACTTTTTTAAAATTTTTTTCGCTTTCTAGTAATTTTTCTACAAAACTGCTTATCAATTTGGCTATTTTAGTTTGATTTTCGAACATACCTAATACTTCAGTTTTTTGATCAGCTCCTTTTAACACACCACGCTGAAAAAACTACAATAATTTGAAAAGACTTTGTTGTATATTTGAAAGACTATGGTAGGAACATTCTGCGCTACTTGCCCATTAACCGGATATTGTTAAACTAGCATTTATCTACAGAATAGCGTGAAAACGACAAAAAAACAAGTATTATTTTAGGCAGGAAAATATATCTTTAAACAAGACTGCTTGTATCAGAGCAAATACCTCAATGTTCCGACTGTCATTTAATTTGCTTCGAATAGTTTTTAATACATCAAATAGTGGCAAAAATATGATTTTTAGGCTGATTATATTAAAATTTAAGCGTTACAATTTGAGTTCTGCATGAAATCATTACAGTAAATTAGCTGCCTCAATTCATACTGGAACGGTTTTCTAGTGCAGGATAATCCACCATGCGTGTCACACGTTTTTTTAGGGTATGCACACCCGGATGAAACCGTGCAGATCAATCCCCGATGTACCAGAGTTTTGTGAAATTGGTCTAAAAAAACCACCCCGAGCATACATATTCCCGCATCCAGTTTCAAGAGTTAATTTCGATTATGTTATGACTTTGATACCAGTCTTTTTATAATTGAGAAGTTTTCTAATATAGTCATTCTTTTTCAATTATAATCTCTTCTTATAAAATTGTGATTAATTACTAAACATTTTATTGAATTATTAAAATCACTTATTCGTCCATCTATTTCTCGGTTAAATTGCAATCAATTTTAATTGATAAATGTAATCCCAATTTTTAATTTATTTCTTATGCACAAAATCATTTTTAATCCATAATAATCGATTACATTCATTTTTCTGCCCTTTTTATGCTTTTCATTTTTAAAAATTTTTTAAAATTGTTTTTCTTAGACGTTGTTTTTGTGAAAAATAGAAATTGGTTTCAATAGATTTCAAGTCAGTTTAAACTAATTTGTTTTAAAGTTTTTATCTTTTTTGATAAGAGTTGTTTCATGATGAATGTTTGTAGTTTTTTAACTACCAAATTATCAGCATGTTGTCTTAGTTTCATGACTTATTCGGTAGAGTTAACTCCACTTACGACGGGAATTCTTCAAGTAATATGAAGGGATACTTGTTGTTTAGTGGTAATATTTTGGGTTCAGATTAAGCAATGTGTGACAAAACTTCTATTTTTATAGGTTTTTTTATTGACAAAAATAATAACCCATAGCAATATAATTAAACTTTTTGTGTGACAACTTTTTGCGAAATAAGATTTGATCAATCATAACTGATTATAATCATTTAAAATTGTTTTAATGAGTTTTTTGATGAACTAATATCAAGGATAATGGACTATAAGAGATTATAATCTCTTAGAAAATATCACAATTATAGTCGGTTATAAATCATTTTAACACCTTTTTTTGACGCTAAAATATGGCTAAAAGGGCTTTTATTGAATATCAAAAAGGTCGAGTTTATATTAAGGCCGTCAACATACCTTAAAAATATCACCCTGCGCCTTAGTTTTTTTGCACTTCGTGAAATTTACTTAACGTTTACTAGTCAAAAATTTACGTTTACTTTTTGTTAAGCGAAGTGATTTCTCGTCCACAGGTTTACTTACAGTCTCAGTGCAGGTGAGATGTTCTTTTTATACCATATTTTCGGTTGTTTAGCTTGATTCCTCACGTTTCTTATTTCTTTTTTCGCAATGACTCTTAGAGCTAATTCATAAAAAGTACATCAACAAATTTTTAAAAAAGTTAACCATTTCGTACGTCTTGCTTCTTCAAAAAAATATACTAAATAAGTTGGCCCAACTTGTTTTAGATGGCTAACTCATTTATATTTTCATGTGAAAAAAACTGCTGATAGCCAGGGAGGGATCTCGGATTTTCTCGAGAGGGCTGGAATTGCAAACAAAATTGAAAACTTTTCTTAGGTCAAAGAAGTTGCTTTTCCGAGCCATCCTAGAACACTAAAAAGACACTACTTTGACAAACTCTTTGCGCAGCCGGCAAATATTTTGAGAAAAAAACAGGTCAAAAAGACAGTTTATGGAAATTTACGGGAAAATTTTGACCAAAAATTTTCGTTTTTTTTGGCGCGCTCCCCTTCAAAAAAGTATATATTGAGGCCCAACGCACCTTCAGAAAAACTTTTGTGTAGGTTGGCCGAAAATGGATGTCATAAAATAATACCAAAAAGAGG